ACAACGCAAACTAAATATGTAATGTCTGGTTTCTGGTATGTATTTAAAATCATAATTTATTCATTTTTGTATAGAAACTCGACGATTTGGAGGCCCCAAACTCGTCGAGTAGGGATGGATTGGGACGCGGGTTAAGAAGTCTACTCGACGAGTTGGGAAGCCTCAACTCGACGAGTAGGCTGGTAGAATGAAACCCTAATTTTCAGGGTTTTGCACCCTATTTAAACACCTTAACCTCCATAAGATGGCCTCATTTACAGCCTCCATTATCCCAAACCCTAGCCATGAAACCCTAATTCACTTTTGAGAGTTTTGAGCCAACTTTTGTGCATTCTTTGTGATTTTGAAGAAGAAGGTGCTTGAAGAAGGAGCAAGGACGTGTAGGGGGAGAGTAGATCTAGAAGTTAGGCTTCATTTATGGTTCATCTGAGGTATAAAGCTCCTACCTTGTCTATAGCATGATTAGATCTAGTTTTAGGATGATTTCTTCATGTTTTGGTCCAAGTATGTTGGTTTTTGGGATTTGGACGTCCCATGTGGGCAAACCCTTCAGATCTAGGGTCTTGAGGGGACTTCATGGCATAAAGGTGACAACTTTATGGCCATGGAAGTCCCATGCAACTTGTAGACCATCTTTTTGGTCTTTTGAGCCAAGTAGGTCATGCATGCAAGTAAAGATAGGAACTTTACGTGTCCAAATCCTCCCTAGAGTCCAGATCTATGACCCCATGGCATATCTTGAAGTTTTGATGGCTTTTGGAGTTGGATCTAAGCCATTTTGAGTTAGGGTTAGAGCTTATTTCTTCTAGGATGGGTCTTAATGGGTAAAGTCAGAAGCTTTAACCTCCTAGATGTGTATTAGGCCCAGATCTGGAATATGGGACTTAGATTCGAAGAATGATGGCTTAATACATTAAGAAAGCTTAACAGACTGAAGAATTCGACGAGTTCATAGAGGAACTCGACGAGTTGGGTCGAAGTGTCCTGATTATGCTAAAAGGAAGAACTCGACGGGTTCAGATGGACTCGACGGGTTGATTTGAGAAGTCCCGATTCTGTTGATAGGAGGAACTCGACGAGTTCATGAAAGAAGTCGACGAGTTGGATCGCGATTTTAGGGTTTTACGATTTATGGAACTTGGATAGTTGAGTCAACTCGGAATGTTGACTTTGACCAGGGTGTTGACTTTGACTTTGACCAAGTTGACCCTTAAGGGGTTATGAGTATGAAAGGGTAATTAAAGGAAATCTTTTATGTATAGGAGCTTGAGTTGGGTTGATTGTCGGAGCCGAGGATTTTCAGCTACTTTCCGATATTCAAGGTGAGTTACCTTCCAATAGAAGTGGGTCGAAGGCACCAATGCCGACCGACTAGTAGCTGATTATAGTAGAGATGATTGTCTTTATGATAATTGTCTGGTATGCCACTATCTGTTATGCTTTATGTGCTAGTACGCTATGATATTATGCAATAGTGGTAGGAGGGGTGGGATAGACCCCGATACCGGTCGAAAGGACCGAAGGGGTAGGCCAGCACCCAGATATGCTAAGCAGTATGTGACTTATGTGCTTATGTAGTAAGATGATATGTGGTAGTAATAGGGGGTGAAATAGTCCCCGTTACCGGTTGAAAGAGACCGAAGGGGTAGGCCAGCACCCAAATATGCTAGACAGTTACCGGTTGAAAGAGACCATAGGAGTAGGCCACCACCTTGATATGCTAGGCGGTTACCGGTTGAAAGAGACCGAAGGGGTAGGCCAACACCCAGATATGCTAGGCAGTATGTTATTGTATGGTATGTGGTATGATGGGGGAACTCACTAAGCTTTGTGCTTACGGTTTTCAGTTTTGGTTTCAGGTACTTCCTCTTCAAAGGGAAAGGAGCCGGCATGATTGCAACGCACCACACTACATTTTTCCGCACACGAGATCTTTGGGAGTTATACTCTTATGTTGTTTTATCATGACATGTTTTGACTATTGATACATTGGTTTTGATATGAGTTGATACTATGGATGTTTTCAGAAAAATGGTTTTATAATTATTGAATTAAAAATGAAATTTTTGGTCTTAAATTTTGGGATGTTACAAAATATTCACTAAAACTCATTTTATTACAAACATAAAAAATGAGAATTCAAAAGAAATAACTAATAATATAAGATTTTTAGCTAATTTTTTATATAAGGTCTTGTAATTTGCATGAATTCTTAGTAACATTGTTAGATTTTGTAGTGAACTTTGACAAATTCGTAGTCAAAGCTAAGTATTTTTTTAGAAAAAAAAATCACAGCTAAATCGCAGATGATTGAAGAGCAAACCACAAGTGGGGCACACCCATGTATGATTTGGTTAAATTTTTTCTAAAAAAAGGCTTTTATAGAAGGGAGCAAATAGCCGATGAAAGGATCAAATAACAAATGAAAAGGATCAAATTGTAGATGAAACATACCAAATAGTAGATGGAATGACGAAATCGAAGATGAGGCCTAACCATCTGCAATTTGGTTGGTTATTTTGTAAAAGTTCATTTTTTTTTACTATTTTTTGAAAAAAAAATACTATACTAATGTTTTTTGGATTTGAGATTTTCTCTATTTTCAATATGTAAATCTCTTAAAACATAATTACAAGGATTAAATTAATTTCGTTATACCAAATGAGTACATACATAATTAAAAATTCTTAAAGAGTATTAGTTAATTAGACTAGGGTGTTTGAGATTACTTATCTAAACAATTTGTGGTTATTTATAAAAATGCTTATTAGTTTAATAAGAATTATTTGTAAAAATGTTTAGTAACTTATCCAATGTCAAAATAGAGTTTTAAAAGTATTTAGACTTAGCTTATTCGGTACCAAAATATACTATATAAATGCGTTATTTTTATTGGTTTGATAACTTGTGCTTATTCTCATAAAATGACCAAAAAAGATATCTTAGATATATCTATATAAATGTGTTGGGTTATGATAAGGTTAATATGATAATTTGGTTAAATAAACTATACGCTGGCTTAGATAAGTTAGAATGTATTGACTTATGAAAGCTCATTTTATAAGCAAAATATTTTATTTTTGCTTTATCCAAACATTAAAAATTGCTTATTAGCAATGCAAACCATAAGCTAATAAACAACTTAAATAAATAATCCCAAACACCCCTTTATCTAAAATAATTTATAACTTATTTAAACCAAATTAACATACTAAGTTTATCATAACCCTACACATTTATATACATATATCTAAGATGTCATTTTTGGTTACGCGAATAAACAAAATTTGAAAAAAATTAAAAAAAAATTATTAACTTATTATGTTTTGATACAAGATACCAAATTTATTTATTTTTTTGTTGAGTAAATTACACGAATGGTCCCTATGGTTTAGGGTAATTTGCATGTTTGGTTCCTAACTTATTTTTTTAACTCGGAAGGTCCCTACTGTTTGTTTTTGTTACACGCTTGGTCCATGTCTTACCTAAAAAGACTATTTTGCCTTTGATTTTTTAATTTATTTAAATAAACACACCCCAGCCTCACCCTCTCACATTACCTTACCTACCTCACTATTTTTTCATTTTTAAATAATAGTCTTTTTAGGTAAGACAATGACCAAATGTATAACAAAAACAAACAGTAGAGACCAAACACGTAACAAAAACAAATAATAAGGACCTTCCGAATTAAAAAAAATAAGTTAGGGAACACACAAATTATCCCAGACCATAGGGACCATTCATGTAATTTACTCTTTTTTGTTTTTAAAAAAACCCAAACGGATAATTTAATAAACATTTTTAAATATAAACATAAACTGTTTTAAATAAACAATTCCAAACACATCCTAAGTTTAGGAACCATTTAGACTATGCTTACAATCATCAATCATATAACCCGATCAATCTTATATCAAAATATTAGTTTATTTTTCCATCTACACAACAAATACTAACAATCTCAACTTTTTAACCTCTTATCAATAACACAACTAAACATTTCAAATACTATTAATTTTTACTTAATTACATAAATATCTATATAATGTTTCTCAAGTCTATTTTGGGATCTTTGGGAACTTCTTTGTGTTGCTTTTTAGGATGACTATAATGTGGTTAATAAATCTCTTGAAAGATTAAGATTTATTATTTCTAAGGCTTTTTGCTTTAGAAACAGACAAGGAAAACTTAATAGCTCAGAGACGACGTGGATCCAATTGGGTGTGGTTATGGAGTGGACCAATTGATCAGTTTCAGTTTAGATCATCTTTACAAGCTTCATGATGTGCTATATGATTTCAGTTCTAGAAATCCAATAATAGAATTATCTTATTTTTGTTAGCAATGCGCCAACTTTTTAATAAAAATGCTGTTAAAAAAATGATAATAATAATAATAATAATAATTCATATTATAAATTAACAAATTTCTCAGAAAAAAGTAACACTTAAATCGGTCCACACTTTACTGATGTTATCTTCTTGAAAAAGTCCCCACATTGTCCAAGTCGTTGGACTTTTCAGCTCATTGAGGAGTTGCAATTTCACACGTCGAAAAGTATTACAAGATGCTCATTAATATGTTTTTCCATTGTTTATTTAAACAAAATATTGTATGTGCTCATTACTTAGTTGAATAATTGGTTTTGACACTGTGAACTGTAACATCAAGTCAAATTGTATATGTTGTGTATCATATCATATGAATGCAAGGTAATGTACTATTAATAAAACCGAATATTACTTATGTCGTAGCTAATATGAAACTAAATAAAAGTTCGAATTTTCCCATCTATTTACGCTATCTCAACCTGTAATTTCAAAGGCTTCGATATCACCCTAATTGCTAAAATCCCCACAAGTATTAAACACAAATTGACAGGTTGACTCCGACTTTGAAGTTTGAACTTGTCTTTCTTTTCTCTTGCTACTCCTCCATAAATTCATTATTTTCATGTTTCGGAAAGTCATCTTCCACCTTCCTGTTTTCCGGCAAAAATGGTGGTCGAAGGAGCAGCTTCAAACCACGCACTTGAAAAGGCACCGACTTGGGCATTGGCGACAGTTTGCTTTGTGTTCATCTTTCTTGGGCTTGTGATCGAACATTTATTCCGTACTACCTCACTGGTTAGAATCCATTCTATCTTTTTAAGTTTACATATTCACCGACAATTCTTGCTTAAAAGAATTGGTCTTCGATCTTGTTACTTATTTATTTATTTATTTAATTATAATAATGTAAAATGACCATTAAATTGTTGACTTGTATGTTGACTGTTTTTGTTTGGTCATGCAGTGGCTTAAGGAACGTAGGAAAACTGCCTTATATGAGGCAGTGGAGAAGCTGAAGGAAGGTAAAGATACTATCTCGTATTTTTTTTTCTTCCTATCGGAACATATTAAAAAAAATCATATTTTACAAGCGTAGCTAATGACATTTATTCATGGATTAAAAATGATTTTGCTTTTTTCCACCAAAGACTTTGGTGACCATTGAACTACATATCCATCCATTGAACATCCCATGATGTTTGATTTTAATCAATTAAGTGGTCCTCTTCCATTAAACTATGCTAATAATGTTCTTAGATGATCAAGTTGTTATATGTCAATTGTTGTCAAGGCGAGTTCATGTATGCTTAAAGGTGGGTCACATGAACCACCTAATTTTATCAATAATCCTAGAAATCATATACCAATATATTTAGGAACTACCTTCAAATTTTTGAAGGACCTACCATACAAAAAAAAAAAAAAGGAAAGAAAGATGGAGAGATTTTGGGTGGGAAAGAAAAAGAAAAAGGTCAATTGGTGAAACACACATCTTAAAGCTCTGGAACAGCTAAAGAGAGACATTTAGGTTACAAATCATTTAGAGGAAGGGGCTTTTACCAACCATTTAGAAGGAATGGGATTTTACCACTTAACTTCCCCTTAAAAAAAGTATACCAAGTTGTGCATGTCTTTTATTGATGATTATTCTATCATAATAAAAATGAATATCTATCTTGTAAGACTTTTGTCACGGGGAGAATTGACTGATATATCATCCCCAATTTTTAGATCGTAATTCTATACCCATCTTGTTATTATTATTATTATTATTTGTTTTACTTTTAAATATCTATATCATTTTTCCTTTAAAAAAGTGAAAAAACCTTTACCCACGTATGTTATTAATAAATGACTATTCCCGAGTAATAATTGGCTTACACATATATATGTTTTTACATATGTATAAGTACTTAACTTGCCTACCATTTCATTTTTTGATTAAAGGAAAGTTACATGTATTTAACTTACACATTTATAAATAACTATTATGTATTGGTAAAATAAATTAGGGCTTTATTTTAAATTTAAATTGATTTTAGTCAAAAACAAAATTTAAGGAATGATCAGCTTCGTCTCAGTTCTTTCACCACCAGTTTTTATAAATGTTGAATCGGTTATTTTTCTAGTTTAATTGGTTCGATTAAACACGTTTTTTCTTTAAACCAACCTTAGTTAGTGAACCATATAGATTTCTATTCTACACTCACTACTGATTGTTATAACCCAAAAATTAATTTGGGTTAGAAAAAAGGTAAGGACTTTACCTCTAGAGTATCACATGAGGCGTTAATCAAATAGAATTGAAACTTTCACACCATGAATATATTATCCTCAAACCAACTGTGAATTTGTGATATATGTATGAGGGCTATGTAGATTTTAATTTGAAAATTGTAACATATTTATGAAAGTAAACATGTGTTTGTACATGGTGTAGTTTTGATGCTCCTCGGATTGATGTCACTATTATTGGTAGTCACTCAAAGAGGAATCTCCAAAATTTGCATATCAAACAAAGTAGCATATTCCATGCTTCCTTGTGACAAAATCACTCAAGAAACAACAAAAACAATCCAAGCATATGAATTTTACTATGCCTCTCCTCCCACATCTGAACCACTAACATTCGAAGATATGATCTCACCAGCTTCAACTACTGCAACTTTTAACTCGTCAGATTATTGTGCTTCAAAGGTAATTTGATCATATAAGATAACCAAATTCATTTGACTAACTATTTATGATGTAATATTTTATAAAATATATGTTAGATCCTTTATTCATGTAACATGTTCTAAAGATGTTATTTTGACATAGGGGATGATATCATTTATATCACAAGAAGCAATAAACCAGTTGAACACATTCATATGTGCTTTGGCTATCATGCAAATAGTGTATAGTGTTGCAACCATGGCATTGGGGAGAGCCAAGGTATTCTTTCTACATGTTTATTCATTTTTTAAAAGTATAGGTACTAAATATGTTAATGGACCAAACTTCATAAATGGTCCTTGTGGTATCTCGAAATCTGAAGTTTAGCCCGCAAGTTTAAAAACCTAATAGATGGTCCCGGTGGTTTCAAAACTTTTAACAAATAGTCTCTCACCCACATAAAAAGACTTATATGTACTTTCTATTTATTTTTAAAATTACTTTTATCTAATTCTATTTAAAAAAAAATTGGAAAACAAAGTAAACAATCCTTTAGGCCCATCCTCTGTGTGTGTGTGAACATTTTTATTAATTGAAGCAAGTAATTGTAGATCCAGAGAGGGAAAGACATATCAAACCCTCGGTTCATTGTGTTGCCCCATTACCAAAATAACACCACCACATCAATGTCTCACTCCTCCAGCCACCCCTGCTACACGCTCCCCCTTCTTGATCTCTCTTTCAGTCACACCTTTTCTTTATCATATCTTCTTATTCTCTTTACAAACCTACTGTATCTAATTTCTCTTAAGATCTCTTGTGTTCATCCCCTCTATTTGTGATCGACATACATTAAATGTGTACGTGGGTGTGTGTCGTTGTTTCCCGGTCGAACAGACCCACGTAGATGAGGGTTTTTCTGTGCACTGTGTTATAGTTTAAAATCGAAGAAGAAAATAGAATAATAATGTTGGGTTCTAGTTGCAGGTTTTAGAACAGAGGAATGAGAAGGGGAGTTGAAGGTTTCACACATAGCCACCGATACACACATGAACACAAATGTACAAATCGGGGTGGGTTTTTAGAAGAAATCAACCTCGTTTATTCCATGAATTCATTTTTTACATTTGAAATCTTTAAAAGTCCAGGGTTATTGAGAAGATTATAAAGTTATACACCTATAAACTCTAAAGTTGAGAAGATTCTGGTACACATTCTGAAACATCCCAAAAATACGGTCCAAAAATTTCGTTTTGATTATTTATAAAAACCATAAATACCACTTGTCATTTCACAAAACCATAAGTAATATATCTCAAATCATCATAATAAAATATTGTATCAAAATCATGTGCCAAATATCAGAGTCTAAACATCCCATGCTAAAAGCTGTGGTGTGTGCCATGCACTCATCCCGAGCTCTTCCCTTTGCTACTGAAAGTACCTGAAACCAAAACTGAAAACTGTAAGCACGAAGCTTAGTGAGTCTCCCCAAACTACCACATACCATACAGATAATCACATAATAACATATAATGGGCCTTTCCCGCTACCTTGAGCCTTGCCCGGCATCAGACGAATCTGACATTAGGCCCCGCCTGGCATCGAGACCCGCTCGGTATACAAATCTGTTTCTACCAGGCCCCGTCTGTCTTTGGGCTCCGCCTGGTATACACATACAAACATATAATCATAATCATGCTAATACATAACAGACAAACACAACACAATAACTGCTAGTCTTAAGGCCCCGCCTATCTTGGGCACCGCCCCTACTCTGCTAATAATGAGATATGGAACCCCGTCCACACTCAGCTAGTGATGAGATACGGGCCCCCACCCACACTCACCTCCCTACCAGGCACATACAAGTATCACAAAGACAACAAGTATAACTAAACATGCATTCCTTCCTCACGTACCACCTGACATCGAACCGTAGTTCGGAAACATACATATAAACCTTCCTGGGGCCTCGCCCGACATCAGATCGCAATCTGGAAGCATATAAACTACATCGGGGTAACCTCGACATTGGATCTAAATCTGGTATACACTAACGTATATAAACGGGCCGACATTGGTGCCTTTGACCCGTTCCTACTGGAAGAGGACTCACCTCACAAGCTGACTGTAGAATCCTGCGAATAAACCTCTTGCTCCTAGCTGGCAGATCCCCGAACTGCTAATCTCTCGACTCCTCGAGCTACCATTACACAAATAATAATTAGTCCAAGCCAACAATCCTCCTTAGGGTAAAATGACCATTTTACCCCTTATCTAAATTGGTCTAAAACTAAGGCCCTAAAAACCATAATATGAAAGGCTCAATACTAGGTAGACATCCCAAGCCCACTGGTGGCCCACTAATGGCCCAATTTGCTAAATTGGGCACAATCCCTATTATGGGCCTTACCCTAAAGCCCAAACGTATTCTTAGCCCAAATATCTGACTTTTGATAGCCCAAAGTCCAAGCCCATTAGGACCAATAAAGGCCTACTACATTGGGCTCACTAAGGCCCAATTCATCATTCAAGGCCCATTAGGGCAAGGCAAGCCCAACCAGAAGTACATTACTCTAAAATCCCTAGTCCATTATGAGCCCAAACCAAAAGACAAGTCCAATACCAAGCTAGCCCACAATCAAAGAGTCCAAAACTTACACAGGGGCTGCTCACGTCGTGAGCTCTTCATGCTCACATCGTGAGGTCATGGTTTCAGTCCAGGAACTTCCTCGAATGTGTTCTCACGTCGTGAGGCTTCATTCCTCACGTCGTGAGTCCAGATCTGACCAAAAATAAGCATTAAGCTCCTATACGATTAAGCCTTAACATGGGACAGTCTAGAGGGTATTCTTTGACCCCAAGGGCCATAAAAATCGAACCTTTTCAGTCACATATGTCCAATATATGACTTAAACACCAACTTGGGTCAAAATGAAGTAAAGAGGTCCAAGACTCAAACTTGGAGTCCAAAACAATGGCCAAAATCCAGATCTGAAACTTATAAGGCTTAAGGTACCACCATGATCCATAAAGTTGCCAACTTTATGGATTCCATGCATTCTAACCAACATTACAAGCCATAAAATACATGGAAACTTAGATCTAGCAAGCAAGGAAAGGAAAGTTATGGGCTTGAGGACTTACAAAGGTCCAAAAGCTCCACAACTAGCTGATGATGAAGCCAAGAAGCTAACCAATGCACCACCAATGATCTTGTTCTCCTTAATGAGATTCAAAGCCTCCAAAATCTCTTGAATAACACCAAAATGACCGAGAACTTGAATGGGGGCTGAGATTAGGGTTTCCAAAGGTCTTGGGAGTGAAAGAGGATGAGGAGGAGCAACCCTAATCATCTTATACCTTTAAATACCCAAAAATTAGGGTTTTGGAGCATCAGGCACAACTCACGTCGTGAGCCCGTAATGCTCACGTCGTGAGCCTTAAATGAACTTGGTCAACAAGTCAATGATCCCTCACCTGAACTACTCCAACTTCAAACGGCCATAACTTCTTCGTTTTAACTCCGTTTTTGACGTTCTTTATATCCACAGAAATGTGGCGAGAAGCTCTACACATCTATCAATTTATCCCCACCTCAAAACCTTCTGAACGAAAATCCAAAATTCATAAAGAGCTCGAACTGCCACTTTACCGTTATACCCCCTTGGGTCCACGACACAACCCAATTACCGGATCACCTCAATTACATTATCCATACCTAAATTGGTCTAGATCTCTCTTTCCAAAGGCCTTAAGCCTTAAGTTAACCCATCTTCAGGCCACAATCCCGAATTAGGAAAGCGATTCGGAACAGGGCGGTACAACTCTCCCCCACTTAAATTAAATTCCGTCCTCGAAATCACTCCCTACTAACACCCATATTCTAACAAGTGATCTAATGAACGCTACCATCACATTAATCATCCAATGGTTTTCCCAAGGCAACTGAACCCAACTACCAAGACCTTCCAAACCCGATGAGAGATAAATCCTTACTTTCATATGGAGAACTCATTCTGTCTTTTCGAGATCTGTAATCTTTAATGGTCTGTCTCCCTGACGGACCGCCTATGCTTCCAAAACTACCATACCAAAACCTTATCGACTCACTGACCACACACTTCCAATTCTGATTATCTTGATGCTACTCTCAGAAACGATATCCCTGTCCATAACCTACTGTAGAATACTTACACTTGACAGAAGGCTCAAATAATCCTTCGAGTAGAAAATTCATCCCTGAAACGGTTAGACTCAAACGAGAGCTGCGCAACAGGGTCAAATCCTTTACTCTGAGATTATTCAATCCAACTGTAAGTGACTTAGCACCTTCGATCGATAAACTATTTCCCATACGAGAATCCTCACTTCATTATTGCTGCCTGAACATGGAGATGTCTCTAGAACACTGTTCAAATGAACCGAGACCACCTTGGTCCGAACTTATCTGTCAACTATCCGGAATACCGGACTCCCACCCGATTGCTGAACTAAAGAACACCCTCTCAGTTGCTCCCAACGATTTCCGAAGAAACTTCGGCTATCAAAAAAATACTCTATCCATATTGCCGCTCCGGGCTCTATAACTAGGAGATACGGGCCTCGCCTACACTCCGCTGACTAGGAGATACGACCCCCACCCACACTCCGCTATCTAAGACTACACCGGTACAACTCCACCATGAATCCCATCGAACTATCCCTTCCTGATTCCGATCATGCTAACTAGGAGATACGGGCCTCGCCCACACTCTGCTGACTAGGAGATACGGGCCTCCGCCCACACTCTGCTAACTGGCCGCTAATGAATGCTATAATTATCCAGCAATCTTACAACACTTTCCACACTATCTGACTACTGGTGAATGTTATGGCTATCTCGCAGTCTTACAACACTTTCCACACTATCTGACTACTGGTGAATGCTACGGTTATCCCCCAGTCTTACAACACTTTCCACACTATCTGAATGTTGGTGAATGCTACGTCTATCCCGCAGTCTTACATCCTGACTAACTCACGTCCTACTGGGAATTCTCCTACCTGGTTTCCCAACACCATCTATCAACTACTGTGAATACGCGAACTCAATGTTGGAAAGTTTCCCAAATTCCCAACTCACACACTCCTCTATCCAAACAGCCACTTGGGCCGCTTTCCTCCCCAATTAGAATGCAAACTCATCTTAGTTTCACACCTACTTCTTGTCCTGAATACATGAACGATTCTCTCCCACTTGGATTCAACCAAGATCTTACAGCATACAGTTTGGA